GAAGCAGCATTATTTCAAATTTGAGCTGAGAGTCGTGATTTTTAAAGGGCTGAAACAGGAACTGGAGCTGAAATCTGAAGCAAGTAAATTCCTTTACTAGGCACTGATGGACACTGTTGTGTTTCTCTTGGCCTTGGCGGAGGCTTTTAGGTCACTGGGTTTTGGATATTACAGCAGATGAAAATCTTGGAACCACAGAAACTTCTAAAATGACAAATAACTCAAATCTCGCCCCCATCCTCAAAAAAAAAAGAAAAAACCTAATGATACTTCTCTAAAAAGAGTCGAACCTTTTTATGAGACCTGTTGCCAATATTAGTGCCACCGAATGATCTCATCTTTCATTCTGGCTAAATTCCAACACACAATTTCATTAACCCAGGTACTGCAGGTGATAAAACTCATTTTTCCCTAAAGAGACAGCTAAAAAGTACCAGTTATACATTTATGAAGTACCAGCAATCAAAATTATGGATTTTCTAAAAGGTTTTTAACTACTTTTATTGAAAGGAAAATCGCTGTCTCAGACTTTTGTGACACTATTGCTAATAATAAATTTTACCATTTAGACATCGCAGTAATACGGTAGACAGTGTCAATAAAAGTATGAAACAAAGATGATCCTTGTCTCTTAAGTAATGCTTTCTGATTACACACCGGAAATTATAATGTGAAACATAAACTAAAAGCACCTTAAGAGATAAAATGCAATAATGCAAGACGATGTGCCTCGCTATGTATACGCCACGTGCAGAAATATTTCATGGCGCGTAGCAGGCAAACGTTAGAGGTGTTTTCTGGTGGGAGCCGAATGCTCACCCCGAGAGTAAAAATATTTCTACACGCGTGTAGAACTGAAAAACACGAGAGTTAGTTGGAGCTGGCTTGCTGTTTCACCCGCTCCGGAGAGGAACGAAGCGGGGCTCTCTCAGGGATGCTCCTTTTGGGTCCCTGGCTGCAGCCTTTCCCAGCGGCATCGCCGGGAGCACTAGAGGGCACTGTGGGATTTGGGCCACCCCGGCCTCCGCCCGCCGCGCCGCCGCCGCAGAGGTCCTGAACTCCCCTGCCACGGCAGGGAGGTTAATCAGGAGGTTGTAAAAGAAACGGTTAACGTCGACATGTGAACGGCAACTCTGAACAGGCGGCGGGCTCGGAAAAGAAAAGGCCGGGCTGCCTCCCCAGGGCCGAGGCGGGTCCCCCCGGGGTGCCGGAGCATCCCCGCAGCGGGCGGCTGCCGCAGCCCCTTCGCCAGCGATGCTGTATAGCTGGGGAGTTTAGCTGGGCCTGCCAGGAATTTAAAAATCTAAGACGACATCTATAGACTAGCCTTTTCTCTGCCCTTGCTACCTATTTGATTAAAAAAGTCTCTGTTGTGCTAACTGCAGATGATTTCACTGCAGAACATTTTGACATGCAAATGATAGCAATTAATGCCTTTGAAACAATTTATGATTTCCGGCCTACTTCAACATGTATTAGCATATACCTGGTTTCTTTAATATACACTTTGTTTTTCCAAAACCACAAACATAGTTGCTGGAATTTCATGTGGAAGTGCTTAAGGGGTTGAAAGTTAACACCTTTGTGAGCTGAGCAGTCTCACAGTTGCTGCTAAACAAAAGCCTCTTTGTAGAAGCTTTCTCGAAATGTTTTCTTAACATGTTCCAAGTAGTTTTAGGCAGGCAACTAAAGTAAACAAGATGTTACCATGATAAAAACACTTGTGAAAACATTACAGAGTGCACTTAGTAGTTTCTTTCACATAAACTCCCCTTCGTTTCATCAAAGTTAAATTCACATGAAGCAGATTACTAGCATCACTGCAATATAGGACTGCAAGATCTCTCCAAAGGTCTGTGTCCCTCTTTTAAAGAATATATTTGATTAAAAAATGGTACGGCCATGATTAAGCACATCTAAACCACAATCAGATTTAAAAAAAAAAGGGGGGGAGGGAGGTATAAAACCCTGCTCAGTCTTCCCCTTCATTTTTTGCCCTGGATGCCTGGATACCTTGCTGAATAAACCACCCTCCCTCCAGTAAGGATCTCCTGAACAACTTGCCGTATAAGGGGTATATATGTTTCTATCTGCACCGGTCTTTAAACACATGCAAATGAAATCAAGGATATAGTCAATTTTGAAGGAAAGTCGCTCTGTGCTACTAATTGCTCCTTTCGTTGCCGCCTGCGAGAGGGGCCCTGGTTAACACGCGAGACACGTGTGCACCCTCCAGCCCTCACCTTGCTTCCCGCAGCTTGGCAGAAGGCCACTCGGTCACGGCGGTGAGACTGGACTTGTTTTTGTTTTTAGGCTCAGGGAGTATACTGGAGCATGCAGGGTGCTACTGTTTCATTAAGCTTAGCAGCAGCCCCTGCTGCTATCAGTTAGCTCTAACTGATACCGCATCACATGATAACCAATGGCTGATGGATTAAAAAAAGAAAAAAAAAAAACCAAAACAATGCTAAAACTGCAACCTCAGGGAGTATACTGGAGCATGCAGGGTGCTACTGTTTCATTAAGCTTAGCAGCAGCCCCTGCTGCTATCAGTTAGCTCTAACTGATACCGCATCACATGATAACCAATGGCTGATGGATTAAAAAAAGAAAAAAAAAAACCAAAACAATGCTAAAACTGCAACTTATTTCAAAAAGAAATAGGGAAATAAATGCGTACAATAGTCCGTGTATCTGCTGGTTCTGATAAGCATCCTCCTGTTGGCTGTGAGTGAAAGACAACTAGGATCGTTATTTGTACAGTATTTATCTTTGAAATCAAGGGCCCTGTGGTGTACCTCACCTTGGGAACAAACACTACAGAACGATCACAGAAGAGTGTCAAATCTCTGGTTTTGATTTACCAACAGTTATGATATTTCTTCCTCAGGAGGAAAAGAAATGAACCATGTTTTAGACCTGCGAGTCCTTTTTTTCTCCTTTAACTGTAGAATCATTTTATTGGCATACAGGGCTTTCATTCCACATGTAACTTCTCTTCGCTTTTTCTAACAGGCCTTTTTACCGAGGTAAGTGAAATTAAGCAATGCTCAATTGATACACGGGCTGCATTTCACTTGGTAAACAAGAGCTTTTCTCTTGAGGGGACTGTCGTAAGAGCTTCATAGATGATACAAGTACCAGAAAGAAACTTCAAGCATCTACCTGTTATCTTTTCATTGAGTAATGAATTCTGATAAATGATAATATAATTTAAGGATGGATGCTCCACAGGAGACTTGGAAGGCTACGGTCTCATTTTATGAAGCAACGCTCACTTCCTAACAGTGTCAATACGCTGCTCGGGGACATTCATTTCTGCATTCATTCTGGGTTAAATATCACTCTGAACAATAAGACTTTGTCTGGACACTGCAGAATTTGGATAATGAGAAAATTTACACGAGCTGATGGGTTTAAGAAAGTCACACGAAATACTTCTGTTGAAAGGTTTTAATGGGGGGAAAAAAGAGACTGACGATAAGTGAGTGATAAAAGAATCAGAATTGTTGGAGCTGGGAGCAGATGGAGCTGCTTCAGGTCCAGCCTGGACTGGTAATGGTTTTTAGCTTATTCTTACCTATTGATTGCCCCAAGTATCTCCTCCAGGTGAACTGGTGGACTTGGTCTACTTACTGAAGCGTCTCCAAAATACCATATAAAAATCAATCTTGCCTCTACCCATGCCATGCGACTTAAGGACTGTATTTTCTACGCATGGTCACGTCAAGCAGTCCACTGCTCTGGAAGAAATCTTCCTGAAACCAACAGATCTAATCTGGAACAGGGGACTAGCACAAGAAGCAAAGGTGGCATAATCTGACCTTATGTGAGTACACATTACTCCAATATCTAAGGCTACCACAGCACCTTCCCCTTGCATTAAGTGCAATAAAAATTAGAATTGTTTTAAAGGTCTAAACGCTATAGTATGGCATATGAATATGAATGAGCTGGCAAGTATGGTGAGATTAGCATTTATTTCACTTAAGTGAACAACAGGATGATTTAAAAGAAATGAGGCCACCCTTCATGGAAATTTATGACTAGCACCTTCTTATTTTGTAATCCTCTTGTAATGAGAACCTTCTCATTACTGTACCATTCCTTACTTGGAACATATGTTTATACTAGAGCCAGTGCTGCTCCCACTGAATTCAGGAGGGCTTTGCCAGTGGAAGCAGAACTGGCCCATTCTATTCCGAGAGCAAAAACCTATCTGTATCGTCTCACATCATCCAACAAACATCCTCTGCTTGCTGTCACCCTTCCCTCCCTCACATAAAGATCCAGGAAACTGCCCCAGAAAGAATAAATACAGCTGAAGTGTTTTGGGACTAATTCTACTTATCCATCCTGAAGAACCCCATGTATTTATGCGGACTAACTTCATAAGATCACCGCTCTAAATGGGAGCAGAATTTGTCCCTTTGTGCATTTAAATCATAAACATTGCTTGGGCGGTTGGTCGTTGGTGATCTTACAACCGAATAGCCATAGTACTTGAGAAAAGATCAGTGCCCAAGCATTCAAGAACCTGTATGCACCGAGAGCCTATGTGTACCTGGTGATCTACCCAGACGGCAAACTCTTTTGTGATGGGAACACCTTTTGCTCCAGCTTGGAGGGGTGAGGCTGATGGTTTAGCTGGGGAGCAGCCATGTTGTAAGTTATTAGAGCTCTGCCAGTCCTACCCTGCATCGGGATGCATGCATTACCACGTACTAGTCCATAATGCACTGTTTATGCAATGCGTAAAACTGTGTTCTTTGGCAGCAAGGAAAGGTCTGCAGCAAACTGCAGGGGCCCAATTAATATAATTATAGTTTATTTTTAGTAGTGTAGACTTTGTTCATTAGTTACTTATTTGACATAAATTAAATTTCACGTGTTCTACAATTCTCTGTTCAATTACGGAGTTAATTTAAGACTAAATTTCTAAATTAAAGTGAAATCAAGGTTAAATCAAGGTTGTATTGTTTACATTATCCATACTGCAACTTAAAAATTATTTAAATAAATTTAAAAAAAAAGTCTGTGGAACTGTAAACACTCTATTTTACAGTAATACATAGAGTAAGACCATACTTTCCCCATGGGGCTCATTTACTATCCCCTGTTAAAACGTTCTTGAGCCTGATCCAAAAGCCACTGAAGTGAAAGGGAGCTCTCTGTTGACTTCAATGGGCTTTGCATCAGGCCCACGGTGAGTGACAGCACACAAAATTTCAGGGCATGCTTTCTGTACAATGCAAGTGCCAAAAAAACCATCCTTACTTTAGAAACGACTGGAAGTCTTCACATACTGCTTCACAGCCTGGCCATTTGCATACGCCGTGTCCATAGAGCGGATGGCTGTGTGAGTGCTCCTCGTGGGATAAACTGGAGGAGAGAAAAAGAAAAGAGAAAAAGTGGCGTAACTGAAGGTACTGCGCCAATTAATCTTCACAAGGACTCTGAAGAGCAGCAAACAACAGATCCTGAAACATCCCTAACATCTCACGGTACCCACCTGACTCTGCCCATGTTTTTTCAAAACAGAATTAAATACCATTTGCAGTGCGATACATGTGTCATTCTTACTTAGCTATCCTCCTACATTTCATTCATTAATTAAAAGCTTTGTAAAGAATTTAAATTAACATGGACGGGGGAGAAATCATTTGACAGACCTCCTTAATATCCTGCTTGATATTTTGCTAAGAAATTTATGAACATTGCATATTTACAATTCAACTTCATCAGGGAAAGTCATCTCCATGCAGCAGTGTATTCGCGTAACACAATGCAACCTGACCTGAGGCTTTCCTCATCACTACAGAAAGAGGAAAAGCATCAAGTTTGCAGCTTTGGCTTTCCCACCATGTTATTTACGGGGCTTTTTTTGTTTGTTTTAACTTTCTTTGGGTTTTTTTTCCCCTCTCACCTGCTGTTTCTTTGCAGAAGTACAGCCACTTTCTATCCCAGTAAAGAAGGTTCACCAGTATTTTCAAATGCAAAATTCATCATAAGAAAGGAACCATGTAATCAAAGTATTCCTCAGTATGAGGGGTTACTGGGGGCTATTAACCTTGCTAAGATTTGGCAGGAACGTCACAGAGCTTTCTAACTACTGAAACCAGGGTTAAAGAAAAAAATTCATATGAGCACTAAGGGGTTAACAATACATAATGATTTGGCTGCACTGATCCAAGTCATGAGACGCTTTGATCCGGGCCATGTGGTGCTCAGGGAAATGTATCTGTTGCACTAACTGATGAACCGTATTCTAAAATATCTTCTTTATTCAACTTCTGCATGGAAACTTCTTAAGTAAAGGAATTATTTTTGCAACAATTTCCATAACCTTAGATGACTTTAAAAATAAAATGTCAAAATAATATTGAAATCTCTATTTTATGCTTACACACATATCTATTCTTCATAGCAAATCTTTTTGCTACAGTATGCCTGTGCTGTATTATGAACTTCACACGTACACAAAGGATATGAACACATACCAGCATCTAGGTGTGGCTTTTATGACTTATTTTATCCTGGATTATAGGTAACGTTACGGATAAATGCCTACTTTTTGCCATTTTACTTTTACACACGTGTGGAAATGCTGTTTATTCTCGTTCTGTAGTATTATCTGCCTGCATACTGTAACAAAATTTTGTTCTTGTATTATTTCTGATGCACTGGATAGCAAGATCACCGCAGAACATACCCCTCAGACGTTATCCCAAATGCAAAGAAGTTGCAAGAGAAATTCTTGCCCAGATTCCGCTACTTTTGACTCTAGGCCCAATGAGAATCTGAAGATAATTGAAGGTGGGGTTTTTGATTTTTTTTTTTTTTAATTAAAAAAAGGTACAGATCTGACTGGAAAAGGTATTATGAGTTGTACATAACCCTAAATCATTATTTCATTAAAATCTTATTTTTGGCCATTTACAAATAGTTCTTGAAGCATAAATATATATGCAAGGTAATTTCCTAAAAAACCCCACTGTAGGTGAAGAGACTTACAAAGGTCTTTTCTATAAAGGAATATTGCACTGGTTTAACTTTGTCAGTTTTTTTAAAATACGCAAGTGGGGAGAAGCTCTATCAGTTAAGTTTTTAAAAGAACAAAGAGACCGATGCGTTCCTTGCAAGGAAATTATAAAAATGCTATACCACACGTTCCCTCAGCTGAGAAAGAGGGAGGCTGGCTGAAGGAACGCTGTCCACCCAGGCCAGACAGGCATATGGTCAAACGCCCTCCATACACATCGGAAAAGAACAATTCAGAAAAATAATGGGTTTTATCATCTGCTTCCATACCTGAATACAGCAAAGGGTGAGAAAGTTGGCTTTCATGTTAACACTCCATTAAAGTCCACGAAGACTACATGACAGTTATGATTTCATTGTGTTTGGCAGAACCCCCCCCCCAAAAAAAAATCGTTGTATTAATTTACACAGCGCACGTTACCCATACACCAGGATGACTGCAGAAACGCCGTGTGACGCCAAGTAAGGAGTCAGTCCCCTGTGGGTTTTAAGCACTGTAAATCTCATTATAATATCAACAGGAGTCACATGGCTTAAACCCCCAGCAGGGTTTTTTAAAGTTTCTCTGTGAGAGCCTAAAGGCCATGGCCAAGTCAACGGAAAGAGCCCTACCGAGATTTGTATTTGTTTTTTAAATCCAAGTGCAAATCTCTTTTCTTTCCAGGGAACTTGCACAAGACAAGACAAACTATGTAGGACATGATACCCTGGTATTGTGTCCAAAGAAAATGATGGAATGACCAAGAGAGTATCAAACTGTAAACCATGCTCAGGATGTCGAAGTCCAGTGCTGTCAATAACCAGAAAGGTTGGTGTTGACTGTAAACAGGAACTTAAAAGGTCATTTTGCTAACACGATGCTAAGCCTAACATACTTAACACCTACGTAGAGCTTCCACTGCCATTCGACAAAGCAGAACAACTACTTCACCTTACCAAAAATAGACACTTCAAAAAGAAAAAAACCCTCAGTATTGAAAGACAAATGCAGGCACCCTCCGTAGGCAGCGTGCCTTTCCGAAGGCAGCTACTCCCATCCCTCTCGGGGGCGGTTTCAGCGGTGCCTTTCGGTGACCTTTATGTGTCAGTATCAGATTACTGCTATTTTATCCATCCCACTTTTGAAGACATTCTAGATTGCCACTTGTTCCCTGATAGAGCCTTAAGAAGCACCTCAAAACAAAACAAAGAGCGGGTTTATACAGAAGCGGATGTAACGCATAAAGATACAGCCAGTGGAAATGAATGGAGAACTCTGTTTAACTGATCTAAGTACTCACTTTGTTTGAGCAAAAAGAGGTGGAAAATGAAGATTTTAATCCAATACATAAACAAACAGCTTTGTGGGCACAATGCAAACTTATGATCTTAAACTGTTCAATGATATTTTGTCTGCATGCAAGCACAGTTCCTGTAATCTGGATGCATCCTTGGTCTCGCTGCCGGAGACAGACTTGTAGAAGATCTGAGCATTGGCAAGCAGAAGCAAGTTTTAGGTCTGTTTGATTTCTAATGACACATTAGAGTAGGTGTTTGTTTCTGTCACCCTCTCCTTCCCAAGAACGCATATTCGTGGTTGGGTAGTGGTGATGCAACACTAGTTAGTGGAAGTGATTTTATAACAAGACATAATTTTCAAAGAAGTGAAGGAATAAATGATGTAAAAATCAAGACTATGTGGGGTTTTTTTCCCCCCTCGTAAGGTATTTGCATACAAAATACCTAACACAATAGAATTATTTCCAAATAATGCAATAGTACAATGATATTACATCGAAGCACAGCAAATAACGCGCTGGCAAGTAAAATGTCTTGCGTAAGTCAGCTTATTCATGACATACGACAGAGTAACGAAATCCATGTGGGAAGCTGAAAACTGCGTAATTGTCCACTTATTTTCTGCTGCCTCCAGCCCCGTTTCCAGTAAGGAGAGGAGAAGGGCCAGGCACTTCCACAGCTCCTCTGTGCTTGCTGGATAGAGGAGTTTTTTCCTCCACCTTCTTCAGCCTATGTTGCTTCCTAACCCCAGGGATCTCCAGAGGGTCTGGAAGCAAATCCACCACCTGCTCCGACAGGGATGGCTCTCGAAGCTGGTACTTGCACACAGCCCCGCTCACTCGGACCATTTCAGCCATTTAACTTTTGGAATATATCTGCTGTGCTACAGCATCACTGAGGAATCACACTCTGGGACCCAAAAGCACAGGAGTGAGAGAAACTACAGACAGCTCAGCCCCAACGGAGAGTAAAAATGACAGTATACCCGAATACTGGGAACACGCTGGGTATTGGGGAAAGTAGTGACCAAAGCACTACCATGAAAGCTACCCGTGCTGTATGGTTTAATTCAACCCATACTTACTAACCGCGTGAAACTGCGTACCATGCTCATACACACTGGCAAAAAAAGTCACGGGTGGATGTAAAAACCAGCTAAGCAGAAGCCTCAGGAACAGTATTTCTGCCACACAGTGGACCATATTTTAAATATTCATGATGCTGACATACTTCATATTCCACTCTCTCTCTTCCACATGTGCTTGGGCCAACGATCTTTGCCAAAACACTGGGGGAAGTCAGTGATGTAGAGAAGCATCCTTGATTTTTCTGTTACAGTTATGAAGCATCTGCTCACGTTCTAACAGTGTGGAGAACACGCCTGAGCCACCTGCACACTGAAAAATCAATACCACGTCTCTTGCTTTCCTCTTGGAAGGGGTTTGAGCAGAGCACCCACAGAAACTGCAGAATTGCCTTTTTTTTAAAATTTTCTTTGATTTCTCAGGGGCAATGGAAAGTGACCTCATCTTTGCCAGCTGCCATGAAACCGATGTCAGTGTAGGGCCCAGGCAGGAGCACGGGGCTCAGTCTCACACCACATTTCCCCCACCTCTGACGTGGACGGCACAGCCGCCGAGGCAAAATGCCACGATTTTGGTCCTGTACAGGAGGAGGAGAGACACAACTGGGAACTGACACGGGTCTCCTGTGTTTGTGACTGCCCAGTGAGCTCCAAAGTTCATCAAAAGGCACCGATGGAATAAAGTTAGTGAAAATGTCACAATTCTCTGAGTCAGAAACACTCGCCGTATTTGATTTAAAATCAAAACAGAAGTAGTAATGATTAAATCCTTTTATCAACTGTACTCAAATGCAAGTTCCTGCCTTAATGACAAAATCAACTGAATAAAGATGTGTTTTGCAGTGAAGTTGCACTGGTGCAAATCCCTCTGAATTCTTACTAAGGTGGCTTAGCACCCCTTTCCACTCTAAACGGTGAATTTAAAAAAATCCAATAATTAAAAAATTTAGATATTCGTGCTTCTGTCCGAGCCTCAGTA